GGTGGTGTCACGCCTGTGGCCGTGGCAACCACGGCGAACAGCGAGCAGCCAGAACGGGAGTCAGGAGCGGCGTCCAGGGGGCGCTCTGCGCCCACCTTGCAGTAGATGCGGTCGTTGGAGGTCGTCGGGATGGACCTGGGACGGGTGGTCGTGGGGTTGAGGGAAGGGAAGGACAGTGCATGCACGTGTGATTGTGGGCGGACTTCAGGTCGTGGGGAAAGACAACCGGCATTGCGGTGTTGGACCACTTGGGTGAAACGGGGGCCCAGCCGAAACATGGTTGGGGCCATGGGCAGGTGGCCCTGGTGATTGACAAGGTGCGCGAGGGATTGAACCTCATGGCTTCCGAGACCAAGGCCAGCATGAGGAGTGCCAGGCCCTCTGTCTGCGCTGCAAGAAAACCATGCAGCCAGCACGGGACGCTAGGCAGGCCGGGGGTGGCACAGGTCGCACGCAGAATGGTGGGTGGGGTGGGATGATTGGTGACGCATGCCCTCTCATACTCAAAACGTTTATTGAATTTGTAACAGCCTTGCCTAGGTATGGCATCACGTCCATCTGCACTGTCACGCCACGATGAATGAACTCCTTTGACCCGTCAGAGCCACTGGCCAGATATTCCGACCAGCCTTGCTGCCCCCATCACCTGATGAGGTAGGAGGGGTCAATGTACTTGACGTCCGCCTTGCCCTTGTCCTTGAAGTGGGCCTTGAAGGCGTCACGCAGGTAGATGCCCACGTCCTTGTGTTTGTAGGGGGGGGGGCGCATGGTTGGGTGCTTGGGTGGGGTTGGGAGGCGTGTGGGGGCGGATATGGGAAGAACATAGTGGCCAGAGTGGTGGTGCATCGGCGGGTGTGGTTGAATGGGAGGTGCGGCTCACGAATACGGGTGCGAGCGGTACAAAGGCGCGAGGCTTTGCCTCAAAGACTTGCGCGCCACAACAAGAGCAGCGCTCCAAGTACCCGGGGCTCAATGGCACGTGCGCATAGGTGCAGGCAACGAGAGCTTGCCGAAACCCTGGTCCAGATGCCCAGCCACAAAAATCCTGAACCCTCGACTAACAGTGGACCCCAAACCCCCAGAGGTCCACACCTTAAGGATGGCGTTGCCGCTGGCGTCTGTGGGGGCGACTCCCTCCTTGCAGAAGAGGTCCTGTAGGCAGTGAAAGGAGCGGGTGCACCCACAAGAGTCAAATTACGGGAATGCGGCAGACACGCCGGCCGCAAAATCGGGCTGCCGTTGGGCCTGTTGATAGCGCGACTTGGGGTGCACAGGCCGGCGCCCCGGCTGTCTAGCCAGCGCTTGGTTTCAAAACAAGTGGGGCGTTCCCCCTGAGCCCCCTTGCAACGGGGCCTGTGCTTGTGTGGCCGCACCTGCCCCGCCCCCTCTGCGACGCATATGACGCAGTGGCCCTTGCGGTCCAGGATACTGCCCACGTGATCCAGCAGCTTCTGCAGGTCAAACTTGATCTGGCGGGGTCAAAGCGGGGGCGGCGTTGGGTGCGGGCGCAACTGGTTGCCAGGGGTAGGTCAGGAGAGAAGGCCAGGAGCAGCTCTTGTGCACGACCCGGCGGCGATGTGATGGATGGTCGGCTGCTGCCCGTGCACTTGTCGCCAACACGCCGCGCCGTGTCGTGATACCATGCCCCAACAGCAGCCATGCAGGTCTTGAGGGTGCCCAGGGACTGGCCGGCTTGTTTTGGGTCGCAGAGCCACAAACACGCGTACATGCCGTAGACCTCACACAGCCAGCCGTATTTGTGCCGCAGAGACCATGTGCCCGCCCCTTCCGTCCGCTCTGCGTTCCCCATTGCACGTGCGCCATGTTCCCTGCTTTCTCCCCCTCCCCCTCACCTCGGGGATGAGGCATACGTCCACCACGCCGCTTGACATGGAGGCCTGCATGGCGATGAACCCGCTGTTGCGCCCCATCAACTTCACAATGCCCAGCCCACGGAAGCCGCTGGCGGCCTCCACCTGGCGCGGTCAGGGGGTCCGGTTTAGGCGAGGGGAGGGTGCCGGTTGGGGCTGTAGTGATGGGGTGCGTCACGGGTGCGCAGTGGGTCTGACTCTGCACTGGGGCCCAGGGTTGCGACTTGCGGAGGCAGGGCCAATCAGTGAGGTTGCAGATGGAGTGCTGCAAATTCAGTACTTTCGATGCATGTTGGATTCCTGCGTGCCGCCGCTTAGCAGAATTGTGGGGCTGTCACACAGGCTATGGCCGCCCTGCCCACCTTCGCCGCCAGCAGCGCGCGCTGTGCTTCCTCCACGGCGGTGTCGAAGCCGAAGCACTTGTCAATGAGCAGGATGTCGTTGTCAATCGACTTTGGGACGCCCGCCACCACGCACTTGACATCCTGGGGGGTTCAGGGTGTGTGCAGTGGAGGGGTGCTTGAGAGGGTGCACAGCAGCAGGTGAGGGAGCTCAAGTTTGTGCAGCCAGGTGTGCCGAAGGTTGTCTGCTGGTGTTCCAGGGAGGAATGGGGGTGCGCGATGCAAAGTTTTGTTATTGAGAGGCTTGAGGAGACTTCATGCATGAGGTGAGCCCCGGACTAGGCAGCTTTGACAGAGCTCGCGGCTCGCGGCCGGCCCTGTTTGCCTTGTTGTGAAGCTCGATGCGTGGGCTGACGCACCCACACAGCGGCACATCAACCTGACAAGAGGCCGCGGAGGCCCACCTGCCGCGCGATCTCCTCCTGGATGGCGTTGGCGGCGGCGTTGCCGCCGTTGCCGCCCACCACGAACACCATGTCGAGGCCCCACAGGTCGATGCGGCGCACAATCTCCTGGATGTCTGCACCGCCGCGCGAGGTGCCCTGTGTGTGTGTGTGCATGTGTCGGGTCGGCGTGCGTGCGTGCGTTCGTGTGTGTGTATTTGTGTGTGTGTGTGTGTGTGTGTATGTGTGTGTGACAGCCCTTGGTTGGCCAACCTGTACAAATCACTTTGCCTCGACCCCTTATGACTGCGTCAAGCGCACCCACCACACCCCTCCAAAAGCTTGCTCCTTGTGCTGAAACCCAAACCAGCGCCCACCAGCATAGTGCCGCCCTTCAGGTGGATGCCGTCCACTGTGCGGCGTGTGAGGGGGACCGGCTTGGCGAACTTGTCGTAGAATCCCCTGAGGCCATAGCGGATCCCGATGATCTGGTCCTCGGGGACACCTGATGGTGAAATGTGCAGGGATGGCACTTTGAGAGTCAGGCGGTCGGCGAAGGGCTTTGGAATGGCCACGCTTGGGGTGCAGCCGTGAAGCAGTTATGGTCATGTCTCAGATGCACCTTGGATTCAATTCATGGGTTTTCAGGTCCGTGACGGCAGAAGAGAACCGAAGGCACTGTCTCGCATCGTTTTGAAGCCTGCTGTAGATACCTTCTTGAAGCCAGCTGAACCGGCACCCTGCCACCCACCATAATCGGCCAGCGTGAAGACAATGTTTTGCACGACGTCGTTGAGGCCCGGGCACAGGCCGCCGCACGTCACGATGGCCGCGGTCACCTGGGGACAGGCAGTGCCAGCGGCACATGGAGGCTGTTTGAGGCCAATTTGGGAGGCGTTGCCGCACGGCCTGCGGCTTCGAGCGTCCGCGAAACCTTCCTGCTGCATTCGAGAGTCCCCCTTGCACTGGACTTTCCAGTAGAGCAGACTGCAGTAACAGCAGCATCGCTCTGCCCTCGGCCCGCACCTGCGAGGGGTCAAAATAGATCGTCTTGCGGGGGCCGCTGCGGATGGCCCACTCCGGCAGCGCCAGGCAAGTGTCCTCATCGGTGCCTGCCATCACGCCGTTGCCGCACACGGCGCCGGAAGACGCCTCAGACTCGTACTCCACGGTGTGCAGCCGGATCCGGTCCTTGTCGCCCACTGCATGAATGGACATTGGGGGGGTCGAAATGTGGTTCAGTGCAGATTTGGTGTGTTGTTGCTATGAGTGACTTCAGGAACGGGTGAAGCCTTGGGTGTGTGGCACACTGTACACAACAGAGGGTTGCGAACGGCGGCTGAGAGTGTTCGCTGTTGGGAGGGGTGGCCAGGGGTGATCTGTGCGTGCATGCATGCATGCACTTGCATGCATGTGTGCCTTTACGTGCAAGTGCATGTGTGCATGCATCGCGGCGTGTGTGTGTGTGGGGGGGTGCATATAAGCGAGGGCACATGCGCATGCATGTAACAGTCGTGTGTTGGTGCTTAAGGTGACAGGCAGGGCGCGCAGCCCCAGCAGCTGAGACCCAGCAGCTGCAGGAACTTGGGAGCATGCGCTGGCATGCTAAACGCTACTTCCGCTATCACTGAAGCCGCACCAAAGCCAGCGCCGGCGTTGTTGTCCTTGGTGAAAGGCGAGGGCCTGGTGGTGGGCCGGCAATCAAGGGCATAGCGGGGATGATCATTTTTTCAGGACGGTGCATACACACAGGTTGCAGCCACCCCGAAGCTGCAAATGTGCGCACAGGTGTGGTAGAGCTCCCACCCTCACGCACCCTGTCACCAGCTCAAGCCCAGCCTGCCACCAGCCGCAGCCCGCGTCGTCAGGGCCGCTGGCCCGCGGCTTTGAGCAGGCGTGGACTGGCCACACCTCTATGCGCACCTGGGTTTGAGCTTTTCCCGCAGAGTCTTGACCTCCAGGATGTCGAGAGTTTCTGGTGATGATGGTTGTGGCCGCAGAAAGGACAGGTTGAGGCTACGTGTGATCGTCATGCACAGGAGGAGCTCGCTGCTGGCGCGCAGCCTCCACGAACGGCACACTGCTGCGGTGCTGCTGGATTGCCTGAATGATCAGCAGCACGCTGTGCACCGTCGCATGAATCCTGGCAATGGCAAGTGATGCCAGCTGCGCATACTTGATGAGCCATGCACGTGTTGTTACGGCACCAGGCCACGGCGACACCAGCCCAGCGCAGACAATGACTTCACTGCAGGACCACACAACAGAATGAGCAAGGTCCGGCGGCAGGCGCGGCGCTCCCAGCATTGCTGCCTTATCGGCAGCGTGAGCCGCACGCACAGCACGCACTGCAACGCACCGTCTGCTGAAACCAATGGCGACACGCGGCCAGAGGTGTACGAGCCCGCAATATACGGCACAGCGCTTGGCTGCTTGTCAGCTTTCTCTGCACCGTTGCCATTTGTGGTCTCAGGAGCAGCAACCGCATCCCGTGCGCCTTCTGGCACTGCATGCTGTACCCAAGCGGCACGCACACGCCGCCGCGCGAGCGGCGCCACGACCGAAGGCTGGACTGCGTTGCAGCGGATGGAAGCCTGCAAGCGGCTACTCTGTTGCAACAACATATTTGGAAGGCGCTTCGCAGTGCGATCCGAAGGCCCTAGGGCTGCGTGTTCACAGATCACTCTTGTGTTGACGCTGCGGTTCGCGCCGCAGTCTGCTCCAGTAAAAGCAAGTTATACAGTTCCGAATGCCAGTTTAGTGATCGACTTGATGCTCCTGATGGGCACGTTGCCACCTTCAATCGTGCTCACACCTTCATGCTCGCGAGGAGCATAGCCACTGGGTCGTATGACAGTGGCCAGGAAATTTCTGTACACGCGCGAGCTTTCAGGCGGAGTGCACCGGATGGTGGTCATAGGTTGGGTTTGACGGCGTTCCGGAAGCAACCGGTAGACTGATGTATGCAATATCGGTAGGATTCAATACGACTGGCGTCACAACAGTGATGAGCTTCGGTCGGAGTCTCGCTTGAACACAACTGGACGCTGCGTAGCGAGCAACGTACGTTTTCAGTCATACCCACAAATGCTCCAAATACAGCCCAACTCAGGACGGGCGGAGTGAACACGACATCTGGCTAACATGCTGCAGCACAGAATGCAGCATCATGGGGCCAAATAAGCTGCACGTGGACACAGACCCAGGGGAACCCTCCTGTGAGCCCCTCTAGCCTCCCGCGCCCCCTGCCGTGCGTTGCTGTTGTATGTCCCTGCTGGCCCCTCACAGCGTGCTTTGGTGGAAACATACCTTACCACTTAAAAGACTGCTAGCAGTGGCTGGAGTGCTAAATATTATTACAAATCTCTGTCATCACGAGCGTCATGCAGGTGCACGGTGAAGCTGGCTTGACAAGCCGTGTGTGCTCGTGGCGTCATGACAGCATGATTCGTAATTCGTAGGCAGTCTATTGTATCTCCTTCGGCACAACATCTGAAAGTCCTGAAAAACACTGGCTTACCCAAAAGCGCAGCAAGGCAGTGGCAGAAGAAAGGAAGGAGTAGCAATAGGCGGGTAATGGCGTGTCCTTGCTTATTGACTCAATCAGCATGGGATGGCGTGAATCCTGGTGGTGACAGTGGTGCGGTGCCTGATAACCATGAACTGCCTGCAAACACACACATACAAAGGCCTCAGTGCAGCAAGGTGCCGCAAAAATTCCATTGGGGATGGAGGGAAGTGATACAAAAACAAAGGCACTAGCGCGAGTCATGGGCAGCTACAGGGGAGGGCGTTGACTGGTTGCTATGGTGGCCTGGAAAAAAATGCATCATGGGAGTGCCTTGCACGGAGTGGGATGCAGACATGAACAAAGGCAGGACCTGAGTATGTGAGTTTGTTGAATGGCGACGTGCAGTACAGGAATGCAGCATACATAGCGCAACGGCGCTTTTCGGACATTGTGGAAAACAAGGTGCAGGCTTCGTTATTGCTGGGCACGCGTTATTGTCGCTCACGCATCACTCCTGCGCGCGCTGTTGCCTGAGAGCATTGGCGCTGCGGACGACGCGGACTCTTCCGAAGCGGGCTCCGCGCCAGCATACTCGGCCCTGTCAATTGGGCCGTCTGACAGTATGCGGCCCGCCGCGACGCCGATTGCCGCGCGGCGTCGCTGGGCCAGCGCTGTGGCGCCGTCGAGCAGCCACGCCAGCAGCCAGCCGCCGAGCAGGGCGGCGGAGCTCATGGCAAACATGGACTGGATGCCGCCGTGCTGCATGGCGACGCCGCCCAGGATGGCGCCAAGGCCAGAGCCGACGCCGCCATAGAGCGCCGCGAAGATGCTCTGAGGTTGAGGGTTTGCACATGACCATACGTGGCACGCTTGCCCATGCACAGGCGATCGAGAGAGGTGGGACCTGGGCTGCTCTGAGGACAAGCGTCACAGATTATGCAAGGTGAGCCACATGTTTGGCACTTGGTAAGCGTGCACATCACTGCCCTGCGCGGGAACTCAGTGCCTCACCTGGACCGTTGTGTTCAGGTGGGCGGGCGCCATGCGCTTGCAGCTGACGATGCCAGCGCCCCAGGATGTTGCAAACGTAACGCCTGCACAGGGTCCGCACCAGGGGGTGGGTAGCGCACCCAAGATTACGGCACCAACTCACAAGCATCTGCTCATCTGCAACACCCTGCTGATATCACAGGCCGAGTATGCGTCTTGGGCATGCCGAGCGCCGACGTCACCCACAGAGTTCAAATGCAGGGAGCTGCTTGCGCCCCCTGGATGCACTCAGCCGCTTTTCACCCCGAGTTCCGCCGTCAGACGCCCACCGTGCAGAAGCTCAATCGGCAGCACCGCCCATGCAGTGGGCGCGTAGGGCAGCAGCGCGTAGGCAGCCAGCCGCACCGCCAGCAGCACCATGGACACGTGCATCACGACAGCCACGGGCACGCGCGCCAGCAGCACGGACTGGAACTGGAACGCGGGCGCCTCTGTCAAGATGGAAAACTGCGGGGCGGCGGCGGCAGGGGCGCGAGCGCGTCAATGATGGTGAGAGCGCAGCTGGAGGACCCCGGACCCCGTGCTGTTGCAGTCGGACAACAACCATGTCTTACAAGTATAAAAGAGCCACAGCATTGCAGGACGTGTGCCCGCCACTCACCACGAGCATGAGGCCCATCAGCAGCTCATTGCCGCCCAGCTGCTGCACCAGCAGGAACGCAAACGCGCCCTGAGTGCCCAGGCCAAATCCAATGACCAGCGCGCGCAGCATGAACACCATGACTGTGGGCCGCAGCAGCAGCTCGCCGATACTGCACGCCTCATCGCCGCCGCCGGCTGCCGGCGCGGCGCCGAGGGTCGCGCTATTGTCCGTAGGGCTGGCGACTGCGGCCTTGAGCGGGGGCGCGGCGCTGTCCTGCTTGCCGCTGAGCAGCGCACGGCGGGAGTCGCCGCGGCGGATGGTGAGCACTGCCACCGCATCCTCCTCGTCGTCTGTGTGTTGGTCAACGTCCATGCTTGAGAGCGCTAGGGTTCCGGTGCGCAGCGCCTCGCTTGCGGCGGCGAAAGCAGCCGCCTCTGCTGCGTCGGCGGGGCGCGCCACCGAGGTCACAGGCTGCGCCTCGGCCGGATGGCTCCCAGGCAAGGCAGCCGCCGCTGCGGCCGCCTCTGGGGCCGGGCAGAGCGCAGCGCCGCCATCAGCATTAGCTGCTGCTGACTGCGGCCCGCCGTGCGGTGACGGCGTTGCGGGTGCGCTGCGATCATGGTCGCCCAGCAACGCGGCCGTCGAGCGCGGAGTGCTGCAGCAGCTGTCCGCGTCGCTGTCAGTGCCGCCCACAAGAAGCGGCGCGAGTGGAGCCGCCGCCGCTGCCGCCGCGACCGCCCCCTCAGGCGCCCCCGCGCGCCCCAGGGTGCTGGGTCCGCGTGCCGGGCTGCCCGACGGCGACAGGAGGCAGGGCGAGGGCGTGCGCACCGACGCGGCCAGCAGGCGCGTCCGCAGGTCACCGTCATGATCGTGGCCGTGGCGTGCGCTGTGCGAAAGCGGCAGCGCGAGGCGGCGGCCGGCCGCCAGCGGCGAGCTGGGCGACTGCGGCTCAGGGGTTGCAGATGCGGGGATCAGGGGCGATGCAGGTGCGTCCCCGGGCGCAGCATGGTCTCCAGGGTGGTCCGCAGCCTTGGTCTTGGCAAGAAGCGTGCCTAAGAGAGCCTAGCAATAGCAAGCGCAGGTTGGGATGCATGAGCCCAGGGGGGAGCAACGGAGACGAAAAGGCTGGCATTACAATCATGGCTCCTTTGAAACTGTTGATGCAGCCCTACCGTCGGGCGCGCACCTGCTTCCCAGCAGCGGCCTCATTCTGTCCGGCTGGAGCGCCTGACTGCTTGGCGTCGGCGGCGGGCTGCGGCTTTTTGGGGCCGGGGTTGAGCAGCCATGCCATGACCAGGTTCGGGACGGACAGCAGCACGTAGACAAGGATGCCGTAGCGCACGCCCGTGTGGCTGATGAGCGCCCCTGCCACGGTGGAGAGCCCACCCCAGCCGATGGACGCCCACACCCTGCAGCCGTGTGAAGAGGGACGTGCAGGCCGAGAGGGGTGAGAGACGCGCCAGCACACACTTGACAGTGCGGAGAGACCTGCCCACAGATGCAGCGCCCACGCGAAGCTTGCGTGGCGCGGATGAGCAGGGCCTTTTTAAAAGCAAAGCCTGGGTATGCCACGCCAGCAACACCTCACCGCTGTTTGCCGTAATCTCCATCCTGCTTGCACTTGGCCACCACTGAGGCGTCAGCGATGACGCCCACCGGCGCACCAACAACCTGCGAGCAGAGCGAACCGTCAGCGACCACAAGCAGGGCACGCAACGCAGATCACGCCGCGTCGGCCCACCGCATGACACCACCACAGCAGGGAATCGGACCATCCTCCATCCTGCATTGAGAAGTGCTTGTGTCCCACCCCGAGTACCAATCCGCACCTCTGCCAGAAGGATGACCGCCGCAACCGCTGCAAAGTTGCCTGGCGGCACGAGCGCCAGCGAGCCACGCAGCGCGGTTGAGCAGGCGAAGCAGACGAGCAGCATGCCCCGGTGGACGGCGAGGCGGTCGGCGAGGGCGCACAGCAGGAAGGAGGAGGGGGCGGAGACCCAGGGGCGCAGACCTTGGATGAGCCTGCGCGGCGGGGCGCACGCAGTGGCTTAAAAATTGCAGGCTGGTGTGCCAAACCCAACTTTGGGACAGTGCCTTGACTCTGTCAAATCAATCTTGTGTATCGACTTAATTCCATGCGAGTGCTCGGGCAAATGGCATTGAAGGCAAGATTGCGCTTGCTGGCCTTGACTCGTGGCGGCCCCTGCGTGAGACGAACTGCCACCCCATGCCCCAAGCCCCTACCCGACAAGCCAGGGTGCATAGCCCAGGTCGCGCATCAAGAACAGCGACAGGTAAGGAGTGACGAACACCAGCGCCCCCGAGAACAGAAAGTACCAGCATCTAAGGGTGCGGGCAGGTGGGGTGGGAGTATGCGAGGGGCAGGTGATGAGGGTGTTGGTGTAGACCAGTGTGACAGCGCAGCGGCGGCATGGCATGGTGGTCTACACAAATGACGTGCGCAGGCGTTGTCCGTGCGCAGGCAGGCGCTCTGCTCGAATACGCCTGCTGCCTTGCCTACCCCCAACCATGCAACCACCCCTTGCGCACAGCCCACACACTTGGCCACCAGCATCTGGTAATCCAGCATGGCAGCCATTTCGTCGGCACACTCCTCGAGCTCTCTGGCGGGCGGGATGCCAGCGGCTGATGCGGCGATAAGTGGGGATTGTGCTCCAACGCGCCGCTGCACAGCACTGCTGCACGGCGGAGGTGTCACTGGCGCTGCCGGCGGTGCAGCAGGGCGTGATGGCCTACAGTAACAACGTACGGCTGTACGGTGTCTCAAAGCCAAGCCCACAGGATTCGATCGGCGTGAGACTACCCGCATCGGGATGCACGCTGCGAGAGTTGCATCGTAACAAAACAGATGAAGACATCATGTGCGAAACAATCCGTTATGACGCAAATGTCCAACAGCTGTCTGCGCTGCTGAATGACAGGTGCCTTCAAAAATCACAAGCGTTGACCCGGTTAAAATGCAATAGCGGCAATGTAATAGATTCAAAATACCAAAGTTTCATATCGTGGCGCACCCAAGGCGTGCCCTCCTCAGGGCCCACGTAGCATGCACGCGTTTGTTCTCAGCACTCGATGCTGCTCGTTGCCATAATACGGCGTTCCCTCCATCCATTGTGTTTTTGATGTGATTGTTGTTGGTCGTCATGAGATGTCGGCAGTAATTCATAGCACGACCCGCGCTGCAGGCGCGGGCAATGGGTGGTGCCCTGCCTCGCAGCCCAGGCAGCCGCGGATGCAGCGTCAGAAACAGCTGCGCGTCCAATGCGTGGCGCATGTACATTCGATCAGGTGCGTATTGGTGTGCACGCTGGGCCGTGGGCTGTGTGGTGTGCACAGGACTGCGTCTTTGGCAGCAGTGTCCACGGCACGCGGGAATGCGTGCTTGGACACTATTGATCCAATAATATCATTCAGCTCAAAATGCGGTGCGCCCTGGCTTGCCGCCGCCGACGTGCCCACCGCCGCTCGCCGGCCGCCACTGGCGCTGCAGGCCCAGCGAGGCGCACGATGCTACGGCAGAGGTGCGTTGATCATCACTGCATTAGTTGTGTGGGAGTGGCATGTTTGGGGACGCTGGTGTGTCCATGCTCAAGCGCTTCGTGTCCATGCTGAAGCGCTTCGTCTCGCTATTGCTGCTGCCCGCGTGCAGCGATGCGCCAACCCTTCTCACTGCTCTCGCGCATCCCTTCATTGCACGCGCAGGCCCGGCGCCGCCTTGCTCGCCAGTTCCGGCGCCACCGACTTCAAATGCTGGAGCAGAGCCTTTTGATTCCAGAGGTCCCGCCAGCAGTGATCGACCATCAAGGCGACGGGAGCGCTGCCCGGCGCCGTGAGCGCGCGCCGCAGCTGGAGGGCGAGTCAACTCACTATGGCGGCGCCCTAGACGGCGCAGTGATTGACAGCCGCGACGCGGACCGGCTGATGCTGCAGCGGCAGTTTGACCAGAGCGGCAGCGCGCCAGCGGGCGAGAGCTTGGCGGTCGCCGGCGATGTCGGGCGCGTCGAGCCCGGCCTGAGCGCCGCCAAAGACATAATGAACCGCATCAAGCACTGTACCCACTGGAAGGAGGTCCGCGCGCTGGTTTCCGAGCACAGCGGCTGCCTCAACGCGCTGCACATCAGCGCCGCACTCGTGACGGTTGCGCAGGTGGAGCGGCGCGGGCGCAGTGCTGGCGTGGCCCGTGGCGAGAAGGGCGCAGCAGCAGCGGCGCCGGCGACTGTGGCAGAGGCGGCGGAGTTGGGTGCGTTTGCTGACCGGCTGCTGGCTATGTCTGGGCGGCTGATGGGCAGCATGCAAACGCGGCAGGCCGCCAACATGCTATGGGCAGTGGCGTCTCTCAGCAGCAGCAGCAGCAGCAGCAGCGCTGAGGCGTCGTCTACGCCCATCAAAGCGTGGCGTCCGCCGGATGCATGGGTCCGCGCCGCGTTCGGCGTGTGGCGGCACGAGCACGCGGAGCCGCCGCAGCTCGCCATGATGGCGTGGGCGCTGGCCAAGCTCGGCGCGGCGCCCGGAGAGGAGTGGGTTGACGGCTTCCTGTCCGCGGCGCAGCGGCAGATGCACCAGATGCGGCCGAGCGACCTCGCGCGACTTGCGTGGGGCCTGGCAGAGATGGGCGTCGCCCCCGCCGCGGCGTGGACGGACGCGCTCGCCGACGCTGTGAGCGCGCAGGTGGAGGCGATGCGGCGCTACACGGTGGTGGCGCAGCAGCGCAAGCAGCAGCGGTGGCTGGCGCGCGCGCAGCAGCTGCGCCAGCGGCGGCAGGAGCAGGAGCTCGAGCGGCGGCGGCGCTCAGCGACTGCGGGCGGTGACGCGGCGGGGGCCGAGGCAGACACGGCAGCAGCGGCGCTGCTGAGGCAGCAGCAGCAGCGCAAGCAGGGCAAGGAGGCGCAGCGGGCTCAGGAGGCAGACGCGGAGGCGGCCGATTTGCCGGAGCGGCGGGACGGGGGCGGCGCAGTTGCCGCGGCGGAGGTGTGCAGGCGGCCGCCGCGCTTCAGTCCGCAGGACGTTCAGATGCTGCTGCATTCTCTGGCGCAGTGGGCTGGCAGCGCGGGCCCGCGCGCCGCCCCGCCGCGCGCGCTGCGGGCGCTGCTCACGGCGGCGCGTGCGGGGATGCGGTCTTTTGACGCGCAGGCGCTGTCGTCGGTCGCGTGGAGCCTGGCGACGCTTGGGCACCGGCCCGACTACGGCTGGTGCGCGCAGTACCTGGAGCGCGTCCGCCAGCTGGCGCCGGCCATGAGCCCTCAGGGCCTGTCCAACACGCTCTGGGCCCTCGCCGCGCTCGGCGTGCGCCCGAGCCCGCCGTGCATGCAGGTGCTCTCAGCGTCGGCGGCGGCGCGCGCCGGCGGCATGGCGCCGCAGGCGCTGTCCAACCTGCTGTGGGCGCTGGCTGTGCTGGAGTATGCGCCATCCGGCGCGGACGCCGCCGCGCTGCTGGCGCGCGCCGAGGCGGCGCTGCCGCGCATGACGCCGCAGGCGCTGGTCAACTGGCTGTGGGCGTCGGCACGGCTGGCGCTGGCGCCGCGCGAGGGTTGGCTGGCGCCGGTTGCGAGGGAGATCGAGGCGCGCGCGGACGAGCTGTCATCCCAGGGGCTGGTCAACTCGGTCTGGGCGCTTGCGCGGCTGGGGCGCGGCGCGGGCGACCCGATGCTACTGCTGCTGCTGCGGCGCTGCGAGGCGCTGCTCTCGGCGCAGCTGGCGGCGCTCGACCGCGCGACGGCGGCGGGCGGCGGGGGCACCGCCGCCGTGGCAGAGGCCGCGGCGGGCCCAGCGGCGGCGGGGCCGACGGCGGCGGCGGAGCAGCAGCGGCGCGGCGCCGAGGCGTTCCGCGCGGCGGCGCGGGAGGCGGGCGGGCTTGCCACCGAGGAGGTGTGCGCCCTGCTGGACACGCTGTCGCTGCTGCACAAGCAGCAGCAGGAGGCGCCCTCGGGCCCCGCAGGCGGCGGCCTTGACGCGGCCGCCGAGGGCGGCGGCGAGCGGCGGGCTCACAGCATTGCTGGTGGCGGCGACGCCGCGGCCGCAGCCCTGGCCCAGCAGCTGCTGCCGAAGCTGCTGCAGGTCGCGGAGGCGGCGCTGCCCGCCTGCAGCCCGCAGGATCTGTCCGTCATGCTGCGCGCGCTGGGGGCGCTCGGGCACCGCCCGAGCCGCCGCTTCATGCACGCCTGGCTGGCGCGCTCGCAGGCGGCGTTCCCCGTGGCGCTGCCGATCGACCTCTCCCAGATGCTGCACGCCCTGGCGGGCCTGGGCTTCCGGCCGCCGCCCGGGTGGCTGGCCGGCTTCCAGGTCGCGACGTACCGCCGGTTCCCGCGGTACAACGCGCAGGACCTGGCGATGACCCTGTGGGCCTGCGGCAAGCTGCGGCTGCGCCCCGACCCGCTGTGGGTGCAGGCCGCGCTGCGCGAGGCGTCGCGGCTTACGCCGGAGCTGCTCACGCGCCACATGGCGAGCATCGTCTGGGCGCTCGCGCGGCTGCGGCAGCGGCCGCCGGAGGCGTGGGTGGACGCGCTGTGCGAGGCGGCCTACAGGAAGCTGCCGTCGTTCGCGCCGGGGGAGCTCTCGCGGATGCTCTGGGGGCTGGCCACTCTCAACTGCCACGTGGACAAGGTGCGCGCGGGTGTGGCCGCGATGCTTGGCCACGGCAGGTTTCCCCAGGCATGCCAAAGCATGCGCAAAAGTCGTCCTTTGCCACGGGCAAGCAGGGGCCGCCTGCGCGTGTGCTGTGAGCCATGCGTTACAAGGATGCACTGGGTATGTGTCCTGCGCCCTGCATCCTGGGTCCTGACAACAAGACCCGTGCCGCCGCGCGCGCACCACGCCCCCCTTCCCCCCCAGGAGTGGCTGAGCGAGGCGATGTCACAGGTCGAGGGGCAGCTGCGCGCTGACGAGGACTACCTGTCCGACGACGTGTGGTGCCCCGACGAGGTGGCGCGCGCCGTATGGGCCCTCAACCGCCTCAAGGCCGAACCCGACCATGCCTTCATGGCCGCCTGCCTCCGCCACTGCTTCACGCGCGCGCGCCGGCTGAGCCCGACGGGCATCTGCCGCCTCATGTGGTCGATCGGGAACGTGCAGGGCTGGGCGCCGCCGCGCGGCTGGGTCGCGCGGGCGCTGGCGGCGACGCACGCGCGGATCGGGGGCTTCCGCGGCCTGCAGCTTGCGCTGCTGGCGACCAGCCTGGCGCGGCTGGAGCACAGGCCGCCGGACGCGTGGCTCGACACGTTCGCTGCGGCGGCGCGCGCGCGGCTCGACAAGTCCAACAGCCGGGTGAGGGCCGCCTGCGCGCGGCGCCTGTGGGTCGCGTTGATGCACGGCTTCTAAACAGCAGGTGGCAGAGGGATTTCTGAGCACGTTGTCTGGTCAACTGATTGACCCCAGTCAAGTATCTGACCTCACCGCGAAGGGTGTCCCCACATGTCTTGTCCCTGACCCCCCACCGGCCCCTCATGGCCCCCCTCAACCCAGGTCATCACCAACATGCTGTGGGCGCTGGCCACCCTGGGCTACCGCCCCGACGACGCCTTCCTGGCCGCCTGCCACGCCCGCGCACTGGCGCGGCCCGACAAGCTGTCGCCGCCGCAGCTGCTGCAGCTCACATGGGCGCTCGGCGTGTTTGGCTGGCGGCCGCCGGCGGGGGCGGCCGACGCGCTGTTCGAGCGCGGCAAGGGGGTGCTGGACACGCCACGCGCGAGCCTGCAGCGCATGCGGTGGGCGGAGCGCGCCGCGGAGACGCAGGCGAAGGCGGCCGCCGCGGACGTGGGGGCGGCCGCGGCTGTGCGGGCGGGGGCGCGGCGGCTGCAGTAGGGGCCCCGCCGGTGTCCAATGTGTATGATTGCCCCCTAAACTTTTCCAGTTGCAGCGGCACTGCGGCCGACATTCACGGCATGCCAGCAATTGCGGCAGCTTGGGTGTGCTTGAGGTCTCTTGCAAGGTGGATGCAGTGCAAGTGCGTATTTAGCATGGGCTCACGTTTGTGTGGGTTGAAGATTTTCCACCTCGTCGCTCCTCCAGCAGCTTGTACCATACCAGCCGAGCCTACATTCTTGCGCTTGCGCTGTAACGTGGCGGGATCTGCATTGGAATGTTGGTGTATATGGCTGGCACGGGCTCAGGCCGGATAGTGATGAAGCTTGCCGCGTGTCGAGGCGGCCCAGGTGGCGATTGCAGTGCCACCGGGCTGGTGACAAGCTGCAGAGCCTCGTAGGGTGTTCAGCAACGGTTTGCTGCTTCACATCTATCACTCTGTGCTGTGACGATTGTTTCAAATGCATTTCAGCGCTTTCGCACAAACGCTCTGGGCTGACGACTGATGTGGTGATCTTGTGTTTCATCTACGAGAGCGCAAACTGTTCCTTACAGTCTGAAAAGCACTATACAACCCATCCCTATCGTCGGCCAGACGGGGGCACTTGCAACTCGAGGCACCGCCCTTCTCGCCCTCCCAGACGAGACTTGAGGGCGAGTGCGGGGACGCAAAAGTGTGTTGGCGCGTACCACCGCGCAAGTTCTCCACAGCAGCGGCGCTGTGACCTTATACACCCGTGCGCCTTGGTCGTGCTGCCGCCGAGTGGCCACAGCAAACCCCTTGTCAACGGCTCGCCGCAGCGCCATACACACAAGCCCAGCCTTGATTCTGCTACTCTAAGGGTACAGCGCGCACAACATACTCCACGCGCTCTGACAGCACCAGCCAGAAGCGCTCCAGGAGCGCGGCTCGGGGCGCTCACCTGCCAAGCGCGTGCAGCCGCGCGTCGCTGGCGATGATGTCGTCGCTGTACTTCCTGGCATTCGCACTGCTGGCCTCCACCTCCCTGCTCTTCCTGCTCTGGTGGGTGCAATGGCATGCATGCGTTGCAGCGCACATATGGGTTTCTAAACTTAACGGCCTCAGGCATTGCGATTCGACGCTTTGTTGTGCGTTGATGCACTCCGATTCAAACAAACGGTCAGCACCAGCCGGTGCAGAGCTGCAGCAAACGCGCAGCGCCAGCCCGTCCGTGCACAGCCTGCAGCACTGATCTCCCGTTGTCCGACGCCACCGCAACCGCAGGCACTGCCGCGTCGCGCGCTCGCGCCAGCTGGAGCGGCGGCGCCTGGAGCTCCAGGACAGCACTGCTGACTCAGTCTTCCTGTCCAGCTTTGACCTGGGCTTGGGCCTGACCTACGTTGCCCGTGGCGCGCCGGCCTTCGTGATCCGGGCCCTGCCGACACGTGTCTTCTCGAGTGGCAGCCAGCAGCCTGCTGGAAGGCAGGGCGGCGGCAACAGCAGCGAACTTGGCAAGTCAGGGGCGAATGGCAGCGACACGGCAGGGGATGTCGAGCTGGGCGGCGTCCGGTTAGACCAGGGCGGCAACACCGACCCATCGCGGCTGCCGCAGCAGCGGCTGCCGCTGGCCGACCCAGCATTTGCACAACAGCAGCAGCAGCAGCAGCAGCAGCAGCAGCAGCAGCAGCAGCAGCAGCAGCAGCAGCAGCAGCAGCAGTCAGGCGCCCTGGCTGCCAACGCGCCAGACGCGGGCGAAGGGGGACCGGCAGCAGCTGCACCTGCCGCGTCTGCATCCGCCAGCGGCGGCCCTGTATCGGTCGACGCAGATGAGTGCACCATCTGCCTGGGCAGCTATGAGGACGGGGAGGTGTTGAAGCAGCTGCCATGCGGGCACTCATACCACTCAGAGTGCATTGACGCCTGGCTTGAAAAGTCGGCGGTCTGCCCGCTCTGCAAGCACACGCTCTGGTGAGAGTCGCGGCCCTGCCTCTGCCAGCCCTGCTGTGTCAATGCATGTTGATTTATTTGTGTTTGCAGCGTTTAGCCTCTTCCTGCACCTCTGCTTGGGGGGAGCCACATTTCCATAAAACTGCGCTGACGTCTGTTCTGACCTTGCGGCCCCCTTTTGATCTTGCTTGTT